GACTATGAATTCTATGATCATGCCATCCTCGCATTAATTACGAACATCGGCGATGAATGCGGAGACTGTTGATTATGACAAATATGTGACGACAGGGAAACTGCGTCCTATGTAATACTGCAGCTATTGTGCGTCTACCGCCTACATTTTAAGCTGTCTCTGATAACGAGTTGGCGCGAAGATCTGAAAAGTCAGGTGAATGAAATCCTCGTTTCAGCGACCCCACCCCCTTCCTTTCAGTCAGCCGTTAGTTCTAACAGGATACTGCTTGATAGTAAATACCTTCCATGAGTGCCGCTATCGCAAATCCCGAGTATTGAAATCCTATGTAATTTGAGATACAAGTAGCCTCGTCGTAAAGAAGACAAATAGTTCAACTTCATGCTGGTATTCGCCAAGCTATCAGACAACTTTCGAGCAACAAGCAGAATTTCATTGGTATCTCTGGTAAGAACTTTTTTGCCAGTGAGGCAGCTCCATTTGAAATGACAGTGTTGTGATGACAGATTTCTTGAATAAAAATTCGGGGTTTCCGGTGTCCATTTTACAATAGATGCCTGCACGGAACCTAGCGCAGCTGCAAGATCTACTGATTCTGATGTTTGTTATGTACTATGTCACATTACGATAGGATTGGAGTTAGGAGCACTGAAAGCAAAACACATTACCTATAGATGCGAAGGGGTGAGTTCGAGGAAGCAGTTCAGAAGAAGATTTGATTGCTGGAACAGTAAGTTTAGTCAGGCCACACAGCGCAGGAGGAAGCATCAGGCGCCAATCAACTAGGCCGAATGACCTACTGTCAACGCAGAAAACGTTCGGAAGTCGTTTATCAGACCTGGTACAATTGTGAGCAAAGCAAGTGCGTCGAAGAAACTGGAAAAATACTCCTGACGCGGATGACTGAGCACGCAGTTGCAGTGTGGAGGAACGTCCGCTCCCCAGTCGCGGCTGGTGCGATGGAGTCCAGCCACACACTTAAGTTCAATTAGGTTGAAATTGCCGCGAAGTATGGCAATCGCGGGGACCGCTTGAATAGTCGCCAGTCGATCAACGGACGCACGGAAATCCACCCTCCATATTCTGTCCCGAGGCTTAGCTTGGGTAGGGTAATTATGCATGTCAGGAGAGTTCGGGCGACCAATGGTCGCAATGACAGCGAGCAAAACTGCCGAGTAACCATTACATCAAGAATCGACGACGGCGACGGAACCACGCCGTTAGCGACTTGGGTACGGATCGAAATGCAATTGTCGCACCAAATAAGGCCCCCAGAAATGAGCGCGTGTTGTTGACTATTGCACGCATATGGTTGTCCGGCAACTGCGTCCCATGAATACTGCACCTCGTACCCTTTTCTGTGATTGTTTCTGATGATGGGTTCGAGGGTAATCCAGAACGTCAGACCAATAAGTCTGTCGTTCCAGCGATCACGTCTTCTTCTGAATCCTTTGACTTCCCAGTCAAATTGTCAGGTGATTATCATACCAAGAGACAGTAATGATAATGAGGTCGCGGCAATTATCGACTCCGATTCTGGCTAACAAGCAATCATAGCATCATATGCGACCCCCAGCGATGAACGCGAGTTGCTAACTACGGTAGACATTTGATTGCACAACAGCATCCTATAAATACTGCACTCCTTGTGCTTTCATCACCTTTATCTGAGACTTATGATAGGTTTAAATCAGTATCCGAAACGTTACGCAACAAAGCCACTGCATCTTCTCCAAATACAAATTATGACTCACAACAATTCCACCGTCGTTGCGAATGATGTCTGCCGTGCGCTCCATGGCAAGGTGAGAGCAGGCGCGACTACTTGCGTCTGAGTTAGCCCACAGTGATAGTAGACTTGCGCTGCACCTACCGTACTCTCTCCTCCGTCACCTGAATCCAGTGTCAAGGTCGACTTAAGAAGACCGGGGGTGGGTGGGGGCGTACGTGGCCGACTCGACATAAGCCCAGGCCTAGGCATACTACAACACCCAGTCCACAACGTATGCTAAACAGGATTTTACACAGCAATAAGACTGGAGCGGCAGGACGTACGCCTGCAACTTAGCCCGTTGTTTGTTAGGGGGCGCAGATTCGAGATAAAGCCTACCTGACTCCGATCTAGCCACCGTGTTGGTACAGCGCGTCTACCGCCTGACCCGTTTTAGGGGCACTATTACGTCTCATAATCGCATTAGGATGACTATGTCCCATTAGCACATGATCTTAGGAAGTACGATGCAGCAGCATCGCAAGGATGGCAAAAAGGAAGGGTTGGGACTTGTACGTCGATTCGTAACACTAATATCAAGTCTGAACACAAAGGAGAGAGAGGACAGAAGCTAGGAGATTTTAAATTACCAGTTTTAGATTGTGTTGGTTTTTCATAGTACTGTGATTATAGTTTCGACCGTCGGGAACGCGATTTCCACCCTGTGCCCCACAGCATTGAGGACACAGAGCGATGAAATGGGCGTAGCATCCAGCGCATCTCTCCTCCCTCCCCCACCTGGGTCCGGCTACGAAACAGAATCACGTCGGTGAAAGGAGAGCTCGGACGCAATGCTTGACAAAGCTAAGCAGTTCTTCACGACCTGGTCGCCTTGCACAAAAAAGTAGAGATTGGCTCGGACTTAACGTGAGCGAGTGTCATAAAGGTCACATTAAGGAGTCATTCAGCCTGGATCTCAGTCCGCCAGTCAGTCGCCCCAAATACACAAACAGTACTGATCACGCGGACCGAATGACCATGGAGTTACTGCCTAAGCCTCGTACCTGGAATTGTGCCGGAGCCTTCCCCAGCTGCAAAGTGCCCGCCGAACTCAAGGTGTCCGCCGGGTAAGTTGGGCCAAATGTCCTTGGCTGCATTTCTGGGACAAGCAGAAGCGAAGCCCTTAAAGGTAAATTTTCATGACTGCAGGGTACCTCTTGGCCTTCTCGCGCATTGCTGTTGCTTGTGATAACTGCTTCAGGCGCGTGAACAGGGCGTTCCTCTCAGCCTTTAATGCCTCCACACGCTTTCGTGTCTCAATGATCTAGATAAAGGGTAAAAATATGATGCGAAAAGTTCACCTCTCTTCGCGTATTTTCTAGAGACTCCGCAAACAGTTTTGTCTGCCTTTTGCGTTCCTCGCGCTCCTTCCTCAGTCGTTTGTAGTAATCATCTTGCGCTCGCTCTGCGAAATAACACACCAACATTGTGTCAGAACTCACCTTCAGCCTCCCTCTTTCGTTTGTTCATGATGAACTTTTTGAGTTTTTGATACATCCCTTGGTTTAACTTGTGGCGCTCAATCGTAATCGCGTGCGGCATCTTCGATGTTTAATGCAGCGACCTATAAGGACTGAGGTAAGTATAAATCGGGGCGTCAGGAGGGGCACCACAATAAAACGAAGACAGCAATGGAAAGCGAGAATGTAACAAGTGAGTCTCGGATGAGGCGGGCGTAAGTTTGATTTAGACCTTAATTATCTGACTGAGGGCATCGGCTCCTAATCGGATACGGTTGACAGATGTGGAAAGGGATCAGGAGGCGATAAAACCTTTTTAGCATTTGCAGATGTGCCGACTGACTTAGCGACCTTACTCATCCGCAACACCACAGTATGTAGGTCATCATAGTCTGTCCTTACCAGACCTTTATCTTCAGCGTGGTCAACATCGGTCATACCGCGTCAAAGCCGCTTCGGGTAATTCAATTCACGACGCAGTTGAACAGAATATGCGACCGAATACGACCTTTTTTAATGTCAGCAACATGATTGGTTATCGGTCTGATCCATTACATTACATCCCTGATATGTCAAGTGGAGGTCAAATAAAGCCGTTTTTGGATTAATCATTGATTTTGATCCCCTTATGGAATATTATCCGGCCTCTTTCACATACTTGCTTGTGTCTGATTGAATAGGGTAAAGTACTTGTCTTGCAACTCAAAAATAGGTCGACTTGTCAGATCGGAACGACTTGATGTTGATCAAAACGCTTCAGATGCCCTCAAGTAACAAAACCACTGGTGTTTTTCGGTCTGGTAATTAAAGAGAGGAACCGAATAAAGTGGGCTTTTCGACAAATTATATTCACTCGACAGCCTAAGAATGCATCTGTGAGATCCCAGCTATGACGAAGTCGTTGGATTACTATGAGATATCTACTCTAAACGTAAAAACGAAGCACTTTATCAATATACAGCGACATACAAACACGATGGACAAACCCTCGGTCAGTGCGCCCATAAACTAAGATCCTTCGCGAATACTACAATTTAGAGCTGTTGCGGCAGAGCAAGATGGTGATGTTATTGTTGATTTTTCGTCAGTGGCTTTCATCAAATCAGACAATGCAGAAATTATCGGTGCGGAAGGCGTTTAACTTTCAGACTCTTTTCGACCACGTCAGGCCATCGTAGCAGATAGACAGACAGTTTATCTTATCAGAAACCCTCGACGGCCTTAACCACTGCCAGCCCTGTCAAAGCGCCTGACGCAGTAGCTTCCGGTTTCTTCCAGAAAAAGTTGTTTTCGGGTACGACAGACTTCTTCGCTCAAAGTGTTTTGCATGCGACGTGCTATGCGAAAGGTGCGATGAAAAGGGGCATTTTCGGAGTTTGTCGGACATCGCAAAACCGAAAAGGCGTTTCTTTAAATACGAAGCCGTCAACCTCCACCACCGCATCTGATGTTCTTGACTGCCCTTCAAACAGGGCTAGTTTGCAAGCCTTCATAAATGAATGAACTTCTGAGAGTTGCATGTCGTCTTCCGCAATGCTCCGAAATAATTGGCAAATTCACAAATCACGCACTTTGATACCCGTGGCCACCATCATCCTAGCCAGACACCCAGAGATATGTCCTCGTATCCATGAAATATGAAGACGTCGTTTGTAAGAAGACCCATCTGTCGATCTTACCGAATCCGTGCAACGATATTCTGTTCCATTTAATTGGGTTGCGGTTTACGGTCATTTCGTAGAGCCGCCATTGGACTCTGTGGTAGAATGAGACTGGCGTTGTAGACCTCGGCCTCCCGCGCCCTGATCACACTATCTTTGCAGGGCCATAAATACTCATGCAGCCCTCACCCGGGGACGCGCAGAGGAGCCAGCGGCTTGGTGGTGGTTTTTGGCGATTATGGAGTTTATTCGTATTGGTGGTGAACTGAAAATATGGATGCCGTATTTTGCGGTTGTACAGCTGCTGTACTGTGAGAGGGCTAGTCTGGTGCTAGTCTTGTGCTGAACCAGACCCTTGAGCTCATTTGGCTGTCCAGTACTGATAAACACCTCGTTAAACGGAAGGAAAGTGTTCCTTGTAGCACTGTGGTGGATAGTTCTGACAGGCTGGAAAACAGTCGATGCAAACCAGCTTGGTTGCGGAGACAGTCTATCGCGTTGACGGAAAAAGTCGCACCGGGTATAGTGCTCAAACAATGTTTGTTTGGAGGTTTTGGGTTCGACAATGAGCTGATGGACGCGAAAGTAAAACCCCGTGACCACGCCTATTTTAGTGTCTGGTGACACTAGTATGAAATGGACAGCAAAACAGCTAGAGGTCATTGTGATACCGGTACGACATAAAACCGTCGGCGACATGAGGCCGAATATGTGAGGATGGAGAGTTCGAAACAGTTGTTTGATGAGATCGTAAGGTTGAACAAGTGGCACCAGAGTCGATAGGCATAGTGTCAGGAATCCCATTTACATTGTCGGCGACTGCCAGTTGGGACGTGTGTGCCTTTTCCAACAAATGGAAGTCAGTAAGGTAACAAAAACATACTGCCGTGTCGGTTCCTTCAATTACTGGCACTGTATACAGTCCTGCCTTGTTTCGGGAGGAAGGGATTAAGTGTTCCCCGTCGGGGGATGCTAATGAATGGTGGCAGAAGTACAGTGGGCGTCCTGACACCTGGCAGACTCCGATAACACAACTTGGGAGCCAGATAATAGTCTACCCACGGTCAAATATCCAACCCTTATTGCGCGTCTTGTGGTCGGAGATCACAGTCGGATCGGTTGAGGGTTTGGCTCGGCTTTATATTCAGATAGCTCTTATGAGCCAGAGTGAGAAATGTGCCAAGGTAAAAGTCAACGTCTTTTGTAAACTACTGAACACATCGGGTGTCTTTTAGAACAAATCGCGAGCCCAAGGCGTCCTACAGGTCCCAAATAGTGTGCGCGAGAGGTTGACTTAGTTGCTAAAGCGGCAGCAAGCACACCCAAAAGGGCGGCTGGCAGATCTGGAAAGGGACTTTTAATATTGCTCCTCCAAGAGCCCTCCGTCGCCGGCGATCGACAACTTCGAATGGGACAAGAATGTCATGCAGGGTTTGGGCTATAAGTTAGTTACGACGGTCCCGAGGTTCTAATAACGAATGTCGAGTGTAATAAAGATCTGAGAGAGCTGAAGGGGAGGGCTTGAGGATTACGGTCAAAACAAAGAGGCAAAAACGCTCCTAGCCAATATGTGAGACATACAACGATCCGGTGACGAGATTTATGGGGTGGAGAACATGTGACACATGAATCATACAAATAAGTCATTAATAACACCGGTGCAGCACATCAACATGGTGAAGATCGAAGGAGCGCGCGGATATACAGAACAATCTACGAAAAGTAATAAAGCTCAAGGATAGAGAAAAGCGACCGCCTGCGAAAATATTGTGAGAACGCTCTGTGTCAGAAACTAGTGGTGGTCAGGATCGGATATTAAAACAGCGAAGTTCATGTATGTGTTACAGAACGTGACTTAACGAGGTAGGAACCTAAATCTACTTGTATGGGGTGGTATATGTGGAACTGTTCTCTCGGGTAATAACGATTTAATTAGGTATGCTGGGGACGGAAAGACGAACGTCGCATATTAACTGTTCAAATGTGGAGAAAAAATAGGAGTGTAGATCTCAAATATCAGTACGATGAAATGCGGTGTGAAGTCAGGAGGGGTTTCGGCGACAATAATCGGTCACAAAAGACGCGGGGTAACCCAACCAGCTACGGCAGTGTTGCGAAACGCCCACTTAACTGAGACAGTGCGCATAAAGCCAGCCGGTTAGAAATCGGCGTCGAAATATCAGCCAACTTAAACAGTATAGTCTCAAGCAGGTGAAAGTGATATTCCGGAATTAGAGAGGCCTACATGTTGTTCTTTTTTCACCGGAATCCACAAAGTTGCAAAGGTCAAACTGGTCCTAAACTACCCAGTCGAAAGTTAAAGCCACGAAGAATCTACCGCTACGCAGCAAGATGACGACTGAATGGCCGGTTAAAATGCGGCCCAGAGCTAAACCTATCAGTTGCCCTAAGAGCTTCGAAAAAGAATGAGACTAAAAGCTGAAAGTCTGGAAGTGAAAAGATATAACGTGGTAAATTTACGGGTAGGTAAACACAGCCATCACTTAACTCAACCTGCTTCGAGCGTGATATTATAGCACCAATATATACTATGGATTGAGACGATATGAACTATTGACGGTGCAACATATAGGCCTAAATTGCGTGATGTCCTCTTTGATACGCTGATCTGCATTGATGCTTTCAACGCTGGTAGCGACAATTCGTTGATGGTACCCAAGGGGTGTTCGTGTTTCAATTTGCTTAACACCTTATTATCAGAGGCAAAATTCTTAAATGGATTAAAAATTTCCTTGTCAGTCGCCCCTAAGTTGTCTGCATAGCGTAACGGCAATCAAGGAGGACAATCAAAGAGAGCTGATTTCCACAAGACCTAGCGATACATCGTGAATTTTTTACAAGTAATCATGCAGAAGAACGATGAAGAACGAATTGATGTCCGTGAATAGGGACCGTTTGCTAAAGGGAGATCAGGAGGGCAACTGGAGATCGTTTAGGACGATTTCACACTATCTTTTTCGGCGCTGTTGTCCACCTAATCTACAAAAAAAACAACCGAATAGGCAATTACGGGAGAAAAGCTAAAGGTGGAAAATATTCAGGGAAACTGGGTCACCAGTGCATCTCGAAGAATTTCGTCGTCAACTAAATGCATTTGAAAAATGTATCTGCCAGACACGGAAGGGGTATGAATCCAGAGTTATCGGACAGGCAGAACAGATGCACAAGATTTTATTTCACTATTTTAACAGTAGACTGAATAGCAAGGGCCCGGTCTCAGTACTGAAGGATGATAATGATGTGGAAAGCATTGAGAACGGCAGGAAAGCCAAACACATAGGACGATATTTTGCCCCGGATTTTACTAGACAAGCAGACATTCGCAGTTGCGGTACCAGTAATGCAGTTGAGACCG